CCCCCCATGGCCCAATGCCTGCCTCTACCCTCATCATTCTTCCCATCTCCGCTTTGCTGTCCTCATCCTCCTCTTCTTCATCCGCTTTCTCTTCCTCTTCCTCCTCCTTCGCTTTCTTCCCGCCTCCCTCCTCCTCCTCCTTCTCCTCCCCCCTCCCCCTCCTCCTCCTCCTCTCTCCCCCCGCCCCCCGTCATCCTCTTCCCACCCCCCTCTTCCTCGTCTTCATCTTTCTTCCGCTTGTTGCAACCGGGGCGGGGGATGCTACAGAAGCACGTGGATTTGGAAAGGGTTCGGCTGAGCTTTAGGTGAGCGGGCTCGCCCCCCTGGGTTTTGCCATGGCACCTTGAGAAAGCAGGGGCGCAGTTGAACAAGTTAGCCCTTCGATTGCTATATTGGTCCACGTATCGACTGCACTCCTTCTCGCATCTTCTTTCTCTTCAATTATTGCCCCTTTCGCGTCCGATTCATCCTCCTTCTCCATTGCTTTGCGTTGCTCGCGCCAGCGTCGGTGTCATCGCGCCGCGGTCGTCGACGTCGAGGGGCAACAACGTTGGGACAAGGGAACCAAATGGCATGTAGATGAGACCCGTAATATATGGCTGGCTTCAACATCGCGCCACAGAGAGCGCGGGGGGCATAGGCCAACGGGACCCCAACACGTCCGATGAGGTGAGCTTTGAGCGACGCAGCGACGGCCACGTCCTCAGCTGCAGTCGTTTTCGTAGAGCGAGCTGGTCCCCCCTCCCCTCCCCTCAACCTTCCCTCTCTCAGGCGCTGAGCGTCAAAGGGGCGATCATCATCGAGCAGCCTTCCGCCAGCTTCATGTTCCGCTACAAGCCGCTCTTGCAGAGGTTGGTGTCGTACCTCGGGCGGGGTGGGATCAGGGAAAAAAAGGGTCAGGAGGGGTGGCGGGCGCATTGCATTGACTTCGCGAGAAAAGAGAAGTGGCGTCGGATAGCGGAATGATGGGAGGGGCCGAGTGTCGCAGTGTAGGAGAAGCGACGGCGTGGGCCCTCGATCGCCTTAGGTACGAGTTCAAGAATGTGTCCTTCGCTATGTGTGGCTTCGGACACGACGCTATCAAGCCGACGCGCTTGATGATGAAATGCTTCGAGTCCGATTGGTCGGGCAAGTTCGACGCCAACGCTAAGGGCCTGGCGAAGATTGCGCGCAAGGCCACTTGCGTCTTCTGGTCTGCTCCTTGTAGCTTGTGGGCCCCAGGGCGGGGGGGGGGGGGGAGTCAGAGTCGCGTTCCTGCTTCCGCCGAACGCCAGGCGAGGCAGGTGGAGCTGCAGAGCGCGGGCGCCGCCCCTGCCAGGCTCACGGTGCGGGAGGGCGCCGACGGTCAGTGGGTCAGCGGGGTGAAGCGCGGCCGCCTCGCGAATTCTGCCGCGTACACGCCCGACTTCTGCAAGGCCGTGGTTTGTTGGCACATGTACTTCACGGGCGAGGCTCCGCGGGGGCGACGGGGGGCGCATGTCTTGGGTGATGGGGGGGATTAGGCAAGGAGCAGGAAGATGATCAAACAGATGAGGACGACGAGGAGTAGGGGGAGAAGGAAGGGGAGGAGGAGGGTGGGAAGGGGGGGAAGGAGGAGGCGGAGGATCAAAGTGGCAGCGGGCGGACGAACAAGGACGGGAAGAGGAGGAAGCGAATGCGTAGAACAAGGGGGATGAGGAGGCGGCGAGGAGAATAAGGGCAATTGGGCCAAATGGTGAGGAGCATGCTGATAACAACAATGCATCAATCGTGAGCGGTTCATCCTCCTCCCTTTCCTGGTGTTCTGCGCCCAGCCTCCATCGGAGCCAGTGCATCTATGCACTTGCCGCAGGGGTACACGAACAAGCTGAACACGATCAAACTGGCCGTCCTGAAGATCAAGAAGCTGAACAAGTCCGAGTACGTCATGTTCCTCGTGCTTCAGTTCATGAGCACGATCTGCCCTTCGCATGGCGGGGATAGGGGGGGTGTTGGCATCAGAAGGGTTCATATGTTTTCGTCTGGGAGGCCGTGGGCCGTCTCAGTTGTTTGAGGGCGTCTCAAGGTGTGGGGGGTGGGCGATTGGGGGATATCAGCATGCGCGAACTTGGGGTGAGGGGAGAGCGGCGCCCACCCTAAGCGCGGACTCGGGCAGGTCGGCTGGCGACCTGGATGGCTACTCTGCGACGCGCCCCTGGGAGCCATGCGCTCTGCAGGGACATTGGGGGAAGGTGCGAGGCAAAGCCTGCGCGCGCTGTAGGTAGAGGCTGCAGACTGGCAGACGGCGGAGTCTGGAGGGGGAGGATGAGTGAAGGATGATATGAAGGAGTTGGGCGGAGGAGGGTTGAGGATCCAAGATGATCAAGATGATGAGGATCTCTGTTCATACCCTTGCTAGCTGTCTGTCTGCCCTCTCCTGCAATTGCCATGCCCGGCTCCTAAGATTAATGGGCCGACCTTCCCTGCATGCCGTCGCTCGCTGCGACTCTGTTCCTTCCCCCTTCTCCCTTCCAACTCAGTCGTTGCTTCATTGCTGTCACGTCCTTCCTCATCTTGGATGTTGTGAGCGGCCAGCCACTCATCAGCGGAGCTTATCTTCCGCAACGCGCTTCTTACTGTGACGTCAGTGGTGCTTCATGCATGGCATCGTTGTTGTCGTGCGCGCGATTGCCTCTCGCCTTGGTCCATGCTGGACAGCAGCGGCGCGCAGGCTACGCCAGCTCACGAGTAGGTGAACTTTTGAAACGGTACAGTAGATCTGATTCTGCTGAATAGCCTAGTCTTGCGCGGGTAGGTGCAGCCACGCCCCTCCTCCACTCCATTAGCGTTGTTTGCCGAGCGAGCGAGCGCTTCGAATGATGAGCGCGCATGCCGCGTCTTCTTTATGGTGCGTGCTCGGGCGTACGTCGGCACTTCGATGTCGGTGAGCACGGAACGGCAACTGCATGTGATCACGATGCGTTGTGTGTCGATCAAGTATACTCGCTCCGTCAACTATCCTTCCATGTCTTCTAGTGGTGGGGCCCAGCGCGGGCCGAGTGACCCAGGCCGAGCATCGGCAATGCTTGGCACATGATTCATTCTTAGGGGCTCAGAGCGAGAGAGCCGCCAGGCAAGTCGGCCTCGCTTTGCTTTTTACATTGGGGGCCAGCAAGGCCGCAAGGCCGCCAAGGCCAGTTTCCCCCCGTCGTGCGGGGAGCGCTGCTGCAGGGGAGAGCAGAAACGCACTTCCCGCCGCGCTCAGACGACAACGGCCTCGAGATGCGAGCGACAGACTGCGACAGAGAGAAAGGGAGAGAGAGAGAGAGAGAGAGAGAGAGAGAGAGAGAGAGAGAAAGAAAGAAAGAAAGAAAGAGAGAGAGAGAGAGGGAGAGAGAGAGAGAGAGAGACAGAGAGAGAGAGAGAGAAAGAGAGAAAGAGAGAAAGACAGAGAGAGAGAGAGAGAGAGAGCGCGAGAGAGAGACAGAGAGAGAGAGAGAGAGACAGACAGAGAGATAACCAAACAATACCATCAGCGCACCCTAATGTTAGCAGCAATAGAGGGAACCCAACAGAGGATGTGAACAGAGGGGTGGCCTAGGAATCGGGATCGAGACGGCAACTTGGGCGCATTGCAATGTGCAGTATGGTGTAATGACAGCATGGCGCAGTGTGGATGATTAGGACGCGGAGTAAGATGAGGGGGGGAGAAGCGGGAAGATGCGGAGGGGGATGGATAAGAGGAATGAGGAGAGGGGGGAGAACGAGAACGAGGAAGGAGAAGAGTGAGAAGAAGAGTGAGGATACGTGAACACGTGCAGGAATATGTGGGAGAGGAGAAAAATAAGGAGAACGAGAAGGACGCGGGGGAAGAGAAAAGGGAGGAGCGGATGAGGTGTTGCTCACCTGTGCGGTCAGCCTTTCTGCAACTGCACTTGCCCTTCCCCCCGGTGCGTGCCTGCGTTGCTGCGTCGCGCGAGGTGAGCTCCAGCGCCCCCGCCTTCGTCGGCGAGCTCGGCAAGAACTCGCGCAGTTCTTCAAGGACCCCTGCCGCCTCCGCGGGCTCCCAGGGGGGGGGGGGGGCGTCGGCAAAATGGAAAATGTCGTGATAAACGTCTGGCTGCGCCAATCCAAGACCCGCCGTCGCATGAGCTCGCTTTTGCAGCCTGATGGCCATGCTTGGTAACCCTACGTTGGGATTGGCAGCGTGATGTTGCCTACGACTCTGAACGGCTCAAGTTTGGTAAAATGCTTACTGGGGATGGGGTGGGCGCGGTGGGCGTTCGAAGGATTAAAGGAAACACTTGTTTCCACGCACGACCAATCTTTCAGAAGACCCCACCGCCTTGGAATCGAACGCCCCGGGCTTCAATGTCCTGATGTCCCCGCCCGCTGGCCGACAGAAGGCACAGTGAGGGCCTCATGGCCCCATCGCCCTAACGATCGCACAATGCGAATGCTGCATTTGTCGGCGCTGTCTTTCGTGGGGGGTAGCGGGCGAAACTGCGTTATGAAACCATCTTCTCAATTGTTGGGCCACGAATCGCCGAGCCATGCGTGCATGGCTATGTGCCGTGACGCTTGTGCGATGCACGTGCGATGTTCGGCGCCCCTTCAGGGCGTTCTTGCGTCAGAAATCACGCGATCAAAGCTAGGTCGCAGCATCAATTGAGCAGTCTGTCATGTGTGCCTACACGCACGCACGCCCGCGCTGTGAATGAGCGGGCGTGTGTCGGGGCCGTGCACAACAGCAACGCCCGCCCCGATGTCCCGATGCCCGCGGGCAGGGTCATTTGATTGAAAATGGGAATTCCCGAGGCGCTCTTGCTCTGTGGCCGCCGAGAAACCACGATTTCAGGTCAAAGGTGGCCGCGGTCCCGTTTCCAAGCACGGGGCCTTTTCGGTGCGAAAGATGGCGGCGCAAGCCGCGCGCAAAAAGAGACAGTGGCGCGCGGGGGATTGAAAAGTATAGAATGGAAGTCGCATATATCATAAGGGAGCGAGGAATATGCATGCCCCCGCGCCCCTGCCCCCGAGGAGCCATGCCGCCGCAGAAGGACGCTTTCGTGGAGGACATTACGCAGGTTGCCCGCGACAGAAACATGGGCCGGGACTTGGCAGCGGGTTCGGTGCGCTACATAGACGCAGCAGCCATGGTCTTGTTCGGCCTTGGCATGGACAGCGGCGCCGCCCCCCACATGACCATCGGGAAGACTTCCAATCGGATCAAGAAGTTTGTTGCTGAACTGCCTGCCACAGATGGCGCGCCCCACTTCAACGGCGACGGCAAGTTTGCATTGGCGTTGCTCCCCCGCGTGTTCGGGGAGTTCTGCAACGTTGATGTCAATTCTGGCGACATCGCCGCCGCGTGCGCTGCCGCGCCGCCGCCGCGGAAGTACGTGCGGCGACTTGGGGCGCAGTTGCCTTGTGACCGTCAGCAGCGGGGCGCGGGGGGGCTGTTTGGCCCGATGCCAGCTGATGTTGCGGCCGCCCGCGGGGCGAGCGGCGCGCTGCCCGCAGCTGGAGGACGTGGCGCGCTGGAGGACAGGCACGGTGGCGATGATGACTCCGCAGGTGGCGCTGAGTTGGGGCCCGCCCAGGCCATTGGACAGCAACGCGGGGTTGCCTTGGCCGCGGTGCCCCATGATGGCGCCGCGGCGCCAAGCCAATCGCCTTTGGCACTGGCACCGCGCGACTACAGCAGCCTGGATAGGTCAGAGATGGTCGCTGCCTTGCACGCAAAGGACGTGACCATCGAACAGTCGGCCGCCCAGCTACGCCAGTCCGCCATTGACCTGAGAAACATGCAAAGATCGCGTGACACTTGGAAGGACAAGGCGCTGGCCTTGAGGGCGGAGAAAGAGATGCTTCAGATGGAGCAGAGCGCCCTCGTCGCGGCGGTCCGCTACCGATCGGGCGCGCGGGCTCACGTCTCCATTCAAGGCGGCTACGTGCTAGCCCTCCGCAGGAACATGGGGCACGCTGGTGGGAAGCTGGCGGCCGCCATGGTTGCAGGCGACGACCTCCACGGGGAGGTCCGCGATCCTCGCACGGTCTGGCGCTACGAGCACCGAGCCGCAGCAATCGTGAGGATGTTGGCGAAGGAGGTCGCCCGCGGGGGCGCCTTGCCCGCCGCTGAAATCTTCACGATTCGCTGCGACGCCACGAATCAGGACACGATTGAAAAGGCGAAGGTGCACATGTCCCTGCTCGAGGTCGTGCGCGCAGACTCGCTTCCAGCGTCTCCCGAGGAAGTCAGGGGCTTCAGCTCGCGCGTGGCCAGGAAGAGCGTGCCAGGCGACATTCAGAAAGTGTACCTTGGAACGGCGCAGGAGACCTACAGCATGGTGGTCGCCGAAATGACGTCGGTGGGCTTCCCCACGTGGGAAGAGAGGGCGCGCGCGAGGCAGGGCGCAGACGCCACGCCTGGACTATCGACATACATTTTCGGCGTGGACGCGGGGCCAGACAACGTGGGAATGGCCCCGCTCCTCAGGGCTAGTCTGTCGGCGGCGCCCACTGTGAGCTTCCTGATAACGTTCTGTTTTGCACGCCCGTTCCACCTGATCGCGCACAATGCCGCGCGCTTGTTTGAAGAGTTCGTTTGGGAAGACCCAGGGTTGCAGGTCGTGCTAGCGCCTGCCAGTGAGGCCGGCGCGCCAGTTCAAGCTGGCGGCGCAGTGCCGAGCGGCCCGAAGTACTGGTCCAGATGCGCGACAGTCGCCAACGTCTGGCGTTCACCAGGCGTAGCACAGAAGCTGCGGAACGCTGCCGATGGATTGTTCGACGCAGCGGCGTCGGCCGCGCACTTCAGCAAAATACCAGGCCGCCCTCTCCGCGGGAGGTGGGGGCGCATTGATTCAATAGAATCAGTGTTGGTTCGCGGCCGCGCAGTCTTGGGGCCAGTCTTCAGCGCCGTCTTCCAGAACGTTGTCGAGAAGAAGCGCAAGGCGCCGCGCGTCGGCACAGAGGAGGATGAGCGGTTCAAGACTGACCAGAAAAACTACCGCTACACCGCTGTGACGAGCGTTAATGACCAGGCGTTCTTGGCCACTGTAGTTATTGCCAACGTAGCCAAGCGCCCGCTCATGGGTTTCTATCATTGGCTCCAGAAGCGGGTGAAGGACCCGATGGCAATCCAACCGCAGTCTTCTATCATCGCCCCCTGGTCATGCCTTGCTTCCCCCACCGCCACCCCCAGATCTCCGCCGCTCCCTGCTGCGGTCACGCGAGCGCCGTCTGATGGGGCAACATCGCCCGACAATCGTCCCCAACGGTCGCGATGGCGGCTTGCAGTAGGGGGGCGGGTCTGCGCGTGTGGTGGGGGGGGGGGGGCGCGACCTGTCAGGAACACAACAAGACCGTGGCGGCCAACGCGTCCAATGGCATTACGTATGTCGGCCCGACGCCAATGAGTCTGATGGTTGCTGGCCGCGCCGAAGGAGTTATGAACGAGATTGGTGAGCTGCTTGCCCCGACTGCGCCAGACGACGAAGGAGTCTGGGGGCCTCTGTGGCCCATGCTTGGGGGCAGGTCCGTCAGAGTGGAAAAGGCAGCGGAGGCCATCGTAGCGTCGGTCTTGATTGTGGGATGCGGATGGGCGTTCCGATTTATTCGGCGACTGGCAGACTTCCCATATCTGTGGCTCATGTTTGCCGAAGAGCCAGCCGATCAAGATTGCCCGATGCGCCGCAGGCTTGCGACCGAGCTGGTGGACAGACTTGACCATCGGGCGTGTTGCTTGCAGTGGCACTTCGGGGACATGAGTGCCAAGTGGGCGGCGCACTTCCGACCGCAGTTGGAAACGGCCAAGGCGACGGGCACGTGCCCAGCAGACTTGTACGCCGCGACGTTGATGCTGAGACGCGCGTGGCCCATCGACACACAAGAGATAGAGGGCATGAATTCCATATTGCAGACGACGGTCGCCCGAGCCCCGTTTCTGCACACGCCGCTCGCAAGTGACAGGATGCAGCTCAAGAAAGGCGATGGAGTGACGGCGACTGAGTGCATCACCAACCACAAGCGGGGACTGCAGTCAATGGTGGCCGAGCAGGCGCTCTGCCGTTTCAGCGGGCCTGTGGTCGACGTGAGCCCACCTCCAGCTCGCCCCGTCCAGTGCGCTCACAAGCGCTGCCCGTCTATGATAATGCCGATACGGCACGCTTTGGCCGTGTACAGGCGGCGCGAACAAGGCGTGCAGTGCGTCTGGGACGGCCCTGAAGGTTTGCCGCCGTTTGTGGCCCCGTGGGCGATCGGCGCGGAGCTTTGGGCGTGCAAGGGTGAGTTTGTGGATTTGGATGGCCACGTCATCTTCAAGCTGACGGCGCCAATTCACCCAATGCCTTTGTTCGAAGCGTTCCACGAGCACGCAGGGGGTGCCGACGCAGGAGGCGACCGCGAGACGCGGGACACCGCAGTTCTCCGATTGCGGCGCCAGCGGCTGCTTTGGGGCAGAGCGTTGCGCGCGCGTGTCTTGGGCGAGTCCGCGACCGCCGTCGGCCTTGACCCTGCGCCGCCGCCGAGGCCGAAGAGACCCAGGCCAGATGCGTCGGGCGGGGGCGGCAGCGACGGCAGCGACGGCGGCGCTGGCGGCGGCGCCCCCGCGGCGCCAGCGCCCATGGGCGACGCCAGCCCCGATGGCGACGACAACCTCAGCGAGGGCGACGACGGGGACTTGGAACGCCATCTAGAGCGGCTGATGGAGGAGGCCGAGGCGGCGGAGATGGAAAAGGCATCCGCGGACGAGGAAGAGTTGGCCATGCGCTTGCCGGCCGCTGATGCAGAGCTTGCTGAAGCGCGGCTTCTGGACCCAGACGGGCAGGACGATGTTGAAGAAGACGATGGCCTCTTTGAGGGCGGCGCCGCAGCTGCGCCTGAAGACGGCGCTGACGCTTTGCTTCCAGAAGGCAGGGATGCTGATGGCTTGTTGCGCCCGCCCGCCGCCTCGATGCGGGGCGAGCTGATTGACGGTGGCGTAGAGAGGGCAGTTCCACTCGCTGATAGGAGCCGAATGGCCAAGGAGCGGCGAGACGCCATCACGGAGGCGCTAAGAGCGGCCGCCGCCCAGTCGATTGCAACGCACCCCACGACCCATGGAGTGATCTCGCTCGTGAAGACCACGGACAACGCTTTCTTTATCAGGTGGGACGCAGTGGTGGGCCAGGGTCGCGAGATTGCGTTGGACCACCTCAACAGGGTCAAAACACTTGTCTTCTTCCAGGCGGAAAAGATCAGCATGGCCGACACCCCGATGGAGATCATCATTCGGGACACTGGCGTCCGCATGATCAAAACCACTGGGGGCAAAGCGGAACGCCCCCTGATGCTTGAGTGGTGCTTGCGTTTGAAGGACCACGCCGGAGTAACCATGTTCTGCGGCCCCCGTCCTGCAGAGCTTAGCTTCGGAGGATGCGTCATGTGCAAGGGCGCGCTGAAGGATGCGTACAACAAGCCCCCCTGGAACGACCACTTCGTTTGCACAGTGTGCCACAGCGCATACCACTACGCATGCGCAGCGGTAGACCTGGACGGAGCAGACTTTGGTGCGTTCGTTTGCATCGCGTGCTCCCGCAGGTAGAGGCGCCCGACGCGCTGCATGCAGAATTAGCAGTGGCCTTAGCATCGCGGTTCTGATCGGCGGGTGCCATCGGCGTAGTACATGCGATCGCCCGGAGATCGGGGCTGACCCTCGTTGCTCATCGTAGATCGGGGGGGCGATCGGATCAACAAGTCTACGGTTGCAAGCAAAGGCCACCCATTGTTAATGTACAACGGCGTGGTTCGCGGGCAACCCGTGCGTGATGCGGGGCAACGTGTTCATCGCTGCTGCAGGCCAACGTGCATGCGGCCGCGCGCAGGCCGCTGTATTCCTGAGGAATGGCGGCGGCGTTAATGCAGGACCCGCATCAATTGATAACGCGCGTGGCACGGGCATCGTGAGTGCACGCGCAGCGCTCGTCGAGTCGGGTCAGCCGAACGACACAGACGCCCCCCGCGCGCACAGTGCACGCACATTGCGCACATCACGCCTGCTGAGCACGCGCAAGGTTGTTGCCGCGAGAGCGCGCCCGCGCAACGCACACTGCGTATCTGCATGCCGAGGGGTTTCCTGCATCGTGCGCTCGCAACACGTGCATGGCGCGGTGCGCGCATGTGTGTGCCGCACGTGTGCAGTTGAGCACTGCGTTGCGCGTCGTACACGTGAGAAAACCATGTGCGCCCTGCGCGCACGGGGTAGCGCTGGGCTTGCAACGAGCAGGGGGTCCAGGGCGAAATGCGATCGCGTGGGGCGAGCGGCGCGTGCGTTGGTTGCAACGCGCGTGTTGGCCCGACCGTTGTTTCACGTGGCGGGCGGCGGCCACTTCTTGGCATGCGCATCACTCAAGGGGTGGTGTTCGGCGGGGCAAACGCACTCCACCGTTCTGGTGTTGGGTTGCGCACGTCGTGCGAGCGCGTTGGTTCGGTTGCGCGCGCGCGCCATGCCGCGACCTGAGCGCGCGGTCAGGTGGCCAGCACGCCTGGGCGGGCTACCAACGCGACCGCGTGGCTGGCCAAATGTTGCGCGCGCGGCCCATGCGGGATGGCATGCGTTGTAATGACGCATGCCGTCGGTTCCAAGCGCGTGGCGCCGCGCGGCATCAGGCGACCAACGTTTGCACGCGGGGTGGGCGCGACGCCCCCACGGTCACGCGTTGATGGCGACGCCCGACAACATCGGTGCGTCGGGTGCCGCACCCGACACATGATCATGCCGTGGGCCCCGCGGTTTGCATTCGATGGTGCGGTGGGGGCGTTGGATGACGGCTGGGTGCGTTGGGGCGCGCTGATAAACGTTCGCCGTGTGTCGGCGGGTTGTGGTGGTTCATGTGTCTGGGGCAGCGTGTTGCACATGCGGCCGCGCGCCCCGGGACAGAGCCGACGCGCGAGGGTGTGTCGGGCGCTGCGGTCAGCACATTGGTGCGCCGTGGGCTCGCTCGCATGGTGTGTTGGGGTCGTGGTGCTTGGGCGCTGCTGCGTATGCTGCACGCGGGGCGTGGCCGACACACGTCCATGCGTCGGCCGCGTGGTTGGGTCGCGGGCATGGCGCGCCGCGCCCGCCACGCGTTCGCGTGACGGGGCCGTTGGTCAAGCCCAAGGTGCGCGGTGCGTTGTGTGCCCAACGCACGTCGGTGCGTTGGGCGTGGTTGGGGTACGCACGCACGGGCGCGTCGCCCGACGCACGGTCGCGTGTCGGACAAGAGGGCCGACGCACGTCCATGTGTCGGGTGGGCGCGGGGCCCCCGACCGCATGAAACGTTGCCCGACACACGGCCGTGCGTCGGGCAAGTGGGCCGACGCGCGAACGTGTGTCGGGTGGGTGCGGGGTCCATAACCAGAGGAAGCGTTGCCCGACACACGGCCGTGTGTCGGGCAGGTGGGCCGACCCACGGATGCGTTTCGGCTCACCCGGCGCGCGTCCGCGCGTCGGGCAGGCTGCCCGACACACGCGCCGGGCAGGCTGCCCGACGCACGGACGCGCGTCGGGCGGCTTGCGCCGACGCATGGACGCGCGCCTGGCCACATGGCGTCGTTGATTTCGGCGGCGAATGCTTCGAAACAAAAAAATATACACGCGAAAAACAAAGAAAACCATTCGCGCATAAAACAAACATATCGGTTTCGATTTCAACTTTGAGTGCGTTTCGCGCGTTGCAGCCGATCGCAAACGCAATGCGACCATCGTGCGTGATATCGCGCGCGGGCGTTCAGCGGCTATGCGAAACCTTTGTCGAAGTGCGCATGTTCACTTGGTCTGTTTGCAGGTCGCCATGCTGTAGCACACGTCGTTTGCAGCGCGCTCGTGTGAACCGCTCGTTCGAGTGTGTGCTGCGTGCGCTTGTGCTGCGCCTTAGTCGTAGTTCATTCGGCTACGCGTGCGTGCGACTCCAGTGCGAAAGGGTGTGGTCCTGCAATGCCATCGTTTCCTGTGATCAGTTAGGGTACGCGCTGCAATCAATTCCTCGTCGGCGTCTTCACCGGCCCACTCGTCGCCGACATGTCCACGACAGTCCTGTGAAGTCCCCAGGTTTATCGGCAATGGTTCTTCCGGACGGGGCGTGGGACACTCGCTTTTTGGGCTTGTGCGTAGGGGCGCTGAATTATATGCCCGCTGGACGTTCCCTTTGCGATCGGCATCGTCCACTTCTTGGATCTAACTTTCCAGCCGCCCAGTGAGGATCAATGACCGAGCAGCCAGCGGCGGTGGCCACGCTCGCGGAGTTCCGCGATGGAGTCACCGCGTCCGCCCTGTTCAAGACAGGGGAGGAGGATGGCTACGAGCACATCAGCGAGTTGTTCAAGCCCGACTCGCTGCCCATCGAGATCTTGAGGCTATCCCATTTTCACAATGTCCCTCTTGTGCGGGCCAGATAAGGCATGCCCAGGGCCTTTTGGGTGGTAGCATACGTTCGGTTGTCAGCCTTGTGGGTGTCATGGGGGGGGGCTGAGCTTGGCAGGGGGGCTATTGTCCGGCCAGCGCAGGAGGATCGACGCCACGCCGGGGTGCCTCGTCCATAGGGACTTCAGGCTCGCCCTCGCGAAGGCCAACGGGGGCTGGTCCACGAGGCGCCACCCTGCCAACAAGGAAGGCCGAGGCAGCATTGGGATATCAAATCGCAACCATTGTGTCCATGTGTCTCTACCTCCTTCGTCTTCCTCGGTTCCTCATTGTCGTTGCCATTGGGCTGCCATTGAGATTGAGGTCAGCTTGTTTTGGCGTTCCCTTCCTGTCGCCGTCGTTCCCTTAGCCGCCCCCCTCCCACATTCTATCTGTCTGCCCAGGCGACGCGGCCTCGCTCCTCCAGCGCAAGCAGTCCGGAGGAAGGGGCGTTGCGAAGATATCGAGTATTTCCGCAAGATTGGGGTGCGCGCGCGCGTCCTGAGGGAGAAGCGCGTCCAAGGGGCTGGACGCCCGCCAGTCTCTGCGCGGCGGGCGGGCGCCAACAAAGGGGGCGGGCGGGCGCCGGACGTTCGCCGCAGGCTGGTGGCAAGGCAGATCAAGACGCATAAGGGTCACGCTACCGACCTTTGCCTTTCCACCACCGCTGGAGCTTTTCAAGTACATCTTGGCTTCATCGGCGGCGGAAGAGCAAGCGGGGGGAGAAAAATAATCCGGCGATCATCGACGTGAAAGAGGCCCACCCGCGGGCACATGACAAAATCAAAGGTTTCATCGAGCTGCCTCCTGGAGAGGGCGCTGGGCCAGACGAGTGCGGTGAGCTGATGATGTCAGCGTGCCGCGTGAGGCACGCGGCGGCGAACTGGGAGGAGGAAGCCACGAGCGCGCTGAAGAAAGCTTGGGTGTCGCCAGGCGTGGCTTCGCGCAGCTCCTCCGTGAGCAGCGAGGACGAAAGCGAGGGCATCATGCGCGGCGACGACGCGGCGGTCCTGGGGGGCGACGACGCCTTGAGTACGGTCATCAAGGAGATGGGTGAACATTACGAAATCAGGGTGAAGATCTCGGGCAAGGATCCGACAGACGCGCAGCAGGCGAAGCTGCTCAACGGGCACGCCCGCGTGCCGGATGACGAAAACGACGGCGCGGCGATAGAGTACGAGGCCGACCCACGACACGCAGAGATGATCATAGGAGAGTTGAGTTTCCGAGACTGCAATGGAGTATCTTCGCCGGGGACCAAGCGCAGGCCGAGCAGCGCAAGCTGGACAAGCAGACTGGGCTCAAGTACCGGTCGCTTGTGATGAGAGCGAGTTACCTTGGAGCGGATCGCCCAGACATCCAGCGCGCGGCGAGGGGCTGGCAAGGAGGAACAGTGACCCGAGAGAAAGCGATTGGATGGACTTGAAGCGCTTGGGCAGGTTCCTGAAACAAACCGAGGGCGGCGCAGGTTTTCATGACCTCAGGTGGCTACGACGACGACGACGCGGGCAGCGCTGACGACAGGCTGAAGAAGGTGAACGTGCAGGCGGATTCGAATTACGCAGGCTGCCTGAGGTCGAGGAAGAGCACGACGGGCTCAGCGGCGCGAGCGGGGCGGCACGCGGTGAAGACGCAATCTTCCACGCCGGAGGTAATGAGCCTGAGCTCCGGGGAGGCGGAGTACTGCTCGGTGGTCAGGGCTTCGAGCTTCGAGCCTTAGCATCGGCATGCGGTCGTTCTTGGAGGGTTTCAAGACGGACCCAGGCTACCCGGCGGTCGTCTGGAGAAACGCGTCGGCTGCTAAGGCGATCGCTGAACGACGGGGCCTGGGGCAGTTACGACATGCGGTTACGAGATTCCTCTGGGTGCAGCAGAGGGTGGCGAATTGCGACCTTGACGTGATGAAGGTGCCCGGGAAGAAGAACGAGTCGGACCTTCTCACGAAGAACCTGGAGGAGAAGGACTGCGTGAAGTTCATGACGACAATGGGCTTCGAATGCCGGCAGGGGCGCGCGAGTGGCGCGGTGCAGCTGAAGGGGGGCCGGGGACAGTGAACCCAAAGGCCGTGGGCGCGCTCCGCTACGACACAGAGAACACGGCAGTGGTGGAGGGCGAGAGCGATTGGGCAGCGTGGTTGCCAAAATCGGTGGCCCACTCGAAGC